TGGGGAGGGTGAGCTGGGAGGGCAGTGACAGGAGCAGAGGGGCCCTGCGGCCACAGCCCTTTCTGGGGGTGTCAGCCAGGGCGCTTTCTCTTGCAGCTGGAGCTTTGTGTGGTCCACCCTTGGGGTGACTGCCATCGCCTTTGTGACTGGAGCTCTGGGCTTCTGGGCCCCCAAATTTCTGTTCGAGGCCCGTGTGGTGCATGGACTGCAGCGCCCTTGCCTCCAGGAGCCGTGCAGCAGCCAGGACAGGTGAGGGGCCGCTGGGAGCCCTGGGCGGGCACGTGCCCTGGGACTTGGGGCCTTGCTGGCAGACTGCAGGCCAGGTTCCCACTCTGGCTGAGCTCCTGTACCTCCGGTGGCCGTAGGCGGCAGCCTCGTCCCCTCTGGGCCCCAGTCTCCCCGCTCTTGGGCCACTGTGGGGGTCCAGGAGGCACTTGGCAGGCGGGTGAGGCCTCCGCAGGGCCTGTAGGGCGATGCTTCTGTCTCTGTCTCCTTGGCCTCCTCTCTGGGGACACAGAGAGAGCTTCGTGTGATTTCCGGAATGCCCCATGCCCGAGCTGGGCCCTCTGCCCGTAGGTCCCCTTCCGTCTTCCCATCGTTACTTCTTAACCTGTAACGTTAGCTGAGCATTTTACGTGAAGAATCCTCAGAGGTGTTGTAATAACAAACCCGATTATTCCTGCTGCAAATGAGGAGACAGAAGTTCAGAAAATTAAGTGACTTGTCCCGGCAGCACGTGGCAGAGGTAGGTTCAAGCCCCTCGGACTCCGAAGCTGGTGGTCTTAGTGCCACGTCCTGTCGCCTCTGGAGACACCGGTTCCTGCTGGACTTGAACATCTGCGCACCTCGCTGGGGGTGCTTCCTGGAGCACCGCGGGGGCCGGGAGGAGGCAGCAGTGCATGAGTGAATGCATGGGCCACACGGATTGTGATGCTGGCCTTGCAGCTACAGCCAGACTGTCACCTCCCTGGACACAAAGACTGGGCCCTGAAAGTCCCGCAGCAGCTTGAAAACATGGGACACGGGACTCACTTGTGTGTCTAGCGTTCAGTGGCTGTGTGTCCCTGGGCAAGCGAGTCCCTTTGTCAGCCCGGGGCCTCGCGTCCAGATGGTTGCACTGGGCCACGTGCCCTCCCGGGCTCCAGGGGACGGTCCTTCCTGCCTCGTCACCTCCGGGGGCTGCTGGTGTCCCTTGGCCTGTGGCTGCATCCACAGCCTCCCCAGCTGTGGTCACGTTGCCTTCTCCTGTTGTGTCTCACGTCTCCCTCCGCTTCCCTCTTATAGAGATGCTGGCGATTACATGGGGGGCCTCGGTTAATGGGTGCTAATCTCCCCTTCTCAAGACCCTTAATGCGATCACCTTTGTAAAGGTTCCAGAGATTAGGGCATAGACATCTTGGGGGGCATTACTCAGCCTGCCACAGGGTAGGTAGAAGGTCCTGGTGTTGGGGTTCTGCATGGACCTCAGCTATTAACACACCCTCTGCGGTTAGGGTAGGCCCCACGGTGAGGGTGCGTCGAGGGAGGGAAGCTTCAGGACAAGGATGCCGGCTTAGCCCCTGGGAGAACTTCCAACACTCAGAGCTGGCCCCTGTGGAAGGGGCTGTATGGTGGTAGTGAGCTTCCCGCCCCTCAGGGCATGTAAGTGGGAGTTGGACAGCTGCTTGCCAGGGCTATTGTACAGAGGGTCAGCATGGAACTTGCAGGACGTTAAGGACCCTCTTGGCTCTGAGAGTCCGATTCTGGGAAGGTCTTGTGGGTTGGGGGTAGCTTGGCGGCTGGGCCTGTCCTCTGGCCACACCTCCTGTGTGGGGGCCAGTGGAGGGCCCTGTCTGAATAATCAATCCTAAGTCTCAGGAAGGTCTCCAGAACCTTCCAGGGCCAGCTCAGACCCGGACTCCAAGGTAGACAGCATTCTTCCAGGATTCGGGGTCACTCGACTGGCCTGAGCCAGAACCTTGTGCAGCTTGTAGCCTGGGAAGGGTCGCTGGGCACCTTTAAGCTGCCTAAGGCCAACACGTGCTTCGTCAGGAGGCCCTGGCTGTGCCAGTGAGGGGCTGTGTGACCTGGGGCAGGTCCCTGCCCTCTCTGGGCCCTACACTCCCTCCTGTTCCCCAAGGGGGTGGGGCAGGGGGATTAGCCCACCGTCCTCAGCCTGTGGGATGGATATTTCACAGAAGCTGTTTAGAGGAAAGGCGGTTTTGGGGAGACTCGGTTTGTCAGTAAGCACAGTCTCGCACCTGTCGTGTTGCATCTTGGCGAATGGTCATCACCCCGCCATACCGGAGGCCATCTGCGCACTTCTGGAAATGCTTGGGCCAGGAGGGGGTGCTGGCAGCGGGAGGGGGGTGGGTGGGGCAGTGGTGCTCCAGGCCAGGGGGGCCGGAAGATGGGTGAGTCCGGAGAACCCACAGTCATTTGTGCAGAGGTGGGGGTGGAGAGAGAAGGGCGAGATGCCACACGGGCAGCAGGGGCCGGTCCGCAGAGCTGGCCCGAGGACAACGGGAGGCCACCGAGCGCTGGAGAGGCCCCGACTACATCCATGGTTCGTCTAGGTCAGCGTCCCTCGAACCCCTTTAAAAGGAGGCTGGGCGGGGGGGCAGGTGGGCATTGAGATCCTGGCTCTGCTGCTGCATTAGCTGAGTGACCTTGCCTTATCCTTCCTCCACCTTGCCCCCTGTGGCTGTCTGCCCGGCAGTTCTGGGACTGTCTCTTGTACTCCAGGTTCTGTGTGCTAGCGTAGTCGGGAGATTAAGGCGCACCTGGTTTGTGTCCTCCAGGAATCAGCAGGCTAGTGAATGACCTTGATGGTAGAAACACAGAAGCAGATCTGGGAACTGAAGGGAGTGAAGGAATCAGCAAGGGGGCAGAGGAAGGCATCTCCAAAGAGGGGATCTTGTGATGGGTCTTGACGGATGAGTAGGAGTTCAGTAGGTGGGAAACCTAGTGAGGAGTGTCCGGATGTAGGAATAAAAGTATGAAGTGGGGACAAGAGCCCATCTGGGGGCGGAGGTTGGAGCTGGGGGATGGGGTTGAGGTCAGCCAGGGTCAGACCACGGAGGGCCACACGGGCTGCGATGAGTTGGCACCAAATCCAGTGGTGTCTGAGAGCTGGTGGGAGTTTTAGGGGTGGGCACTCTGTATTATTATTTTTTCAAACCTATATATTTTTAAAATTTTTTTCAACATTTATTTATTTTGGGGACAGAGAGAGACAGAGCATGAACGGGGGAGGGGCAGAGAGAGAGGGAGACACAGAATCGGAAGCAGGCTCCAGGCTCCGAGCCATCAGCCCAGAGCCCCACGCTGGGGCTCAAACTCACGGACCGGGGCGAGATCGCGACCTGGCTAGAAGTCGACGTCCCACTGGCGCCACCCAGGCGCCCCATCAAACCTATATTTTAGAAAGCACCCTCTGGGGACCTGCTTGGAATTCGGTCTGAGGAACCCTTCCCCAGGCAGCAGGTGCAGGAGGGGGTCAGGTGTAGGGGAAGCGGGTCCGGGAGTAGGGACAGGGAGTGCAGTTAGGAGGGGCTGTTTGAGCAGTGAGGCCTGCTGGGCCAGCCACCCTGGTGGCCAGTGACCTCCCCAGGACGGGGCAGGAAGGAAAATGGAGGGAGGGGCCCTGAGGACCCAGGAGCATTGGTTAGGAGGGAGGGGAGGGGGCCCACAGTCACACTCCCCGCAGGTACCCGATCACGCACTCGGGGCAGGGGCTGAACCCCAGGACAGGGCTACCCCCCCACCTGGCCGAGTAACCCTGCTCTGCTCTTTCCCATCAGCCTGATTTTTGGGGCGCTGACTGTCGTGACTGGCATCATTGGAGTTGTCCTGGGAGCAGAGGCTTCCAGGAGGTACAAGAGAGTCAACCCTCGGGCCGAGCCCCTCCTCTGCACCGGCAGCCTTCTGGCCGCAGCCCCCTGCCTCTACCTGGCTCTCATCCTGGCCCCGACCACGTTCCTGGCCTCCTATGTAAGTGAGTGCCCGCTGGTGGTGTGGGTGGGTGCTGCTTTTTCGCGCGGGCCGACGCCGGGCCAGGCTTTACGTACATTATGTTTATCACTCCGTCCAGGGACAGCCTGCTACCCCCATTTTACAGATGCGTAAACTGAGGCTCACCCAGAGTGGCACCGCTAGGGAGGAACAGAACTGGGGTTTGAGCCTGAGCCTTTCTGGCTCCGAGCTGCTGGTGAAGGCTTTGATGGGAGACAGTGGGACGCATTTGTTCCTCGGATGTGCCGTGAGAGCCAGGAGAGATGGGGTGACAGGTGAGGGGAGTGAAGCCCAGATTGGCCATGGCCCGTGCCGACGCCGCTGTAAAGGCAGCAATCCGATGCTCTCTCGTCTTCCGGGCTCTATTCCGTCCTGCCCCTCCGTGTGCCCCACCCTGTGGCCGTACCAGTGACGGGCTCACGCCTGCCGGCCTTTGCTGTGCCCGTCCCTCTGCAGGGGCACGGCTCTCCCTTGAGCTCCTCCTGCAAGGCCCAGCTCAAACGCTGCATCTCCAGAAGCCTTTCCAGACCGTCCCATGCTCCTGTCAGAATTCACCGTTCCCGCTTGGGTTCCATGCATGTTTGGGTCCCTCGGGCACCGTGGTGTATGGGTGGGGCTGTATGCACACCCCCTGCTCCCCAAAGCCCCAGCCCTGATGGTCTCACCACCACCCCGACTGGCCCGGAGCCAGAACCTTGTGCAGCTTGTAGCCTGGGAAGGTCGCTGGGTTAACCTTTGTTGCCTATACAACACGCAGCTTCGGCCAGGATTCTGGCTGTGCCAGTGAGGGGATGATCTGGGGCAGGTCCCTGCCCCTCTCCTCTGGCCCCACACTCCTCCTCCTGTTCTCCCAAGGGGTGGGGTAGGGGATTAGCCCACCCCGTCCTCAGCCTGTGGGATGGATATTTCACAGAAGCTGTTTAGAGGAAAGAAGGTTTTGGGAGACTCGGTTTGTCAGTAAGCACAGTCTCAAGACCTGTCGGTGTTGCATCTGGCTTAATGGACAGAGTCATCAATTTCTCGCTTTCATACCGGGAGGCCATCTATGACTTCTGGAAATGCTTAGCCAGGAGGGGGTGCTGGCAGCGGAGTGGGGGGGTGGTGGGGCAGTGGTGCCCAGCCAGGGGGCCGGGAAGATGGGTGAACCGAGAACCCACAGTCATTTGTGCAGAGGTGGGGGGTGGAGAGAGAAGGGCTTAGATGCCACACGGCAGCAGGGGCCGGAACTGCAGAGCTGGGCCTGAGTGGGACAACGGGAGGCCACCGAAGCTGAGAGGCCCCCCTCGGCCACATCCATGGTTCTGCCTATCAAGGCCCCTCAACCCTTTAAAAGGAGGCTGGGCATGGGGGCAGGTGGGCATTGAGATCCTGGCTCTGCTGCTGCATTAGCTGAGTGACCTTGCTCACTCTTCCTCCACCTTGCTCCCCCTGTGGCTGTCTGCCCGCCGCGTTCTGGGACTGTCTCTTGTACTCCAGGTTCTGTGTGCTAGCTTATCGACATAAGGCTACATCTGGTTTTGTGTCCCAGGAACGCAGGTTAGTGAATGACCTTGATGGTAGAAACACAGAAGCAGATCTGGGAACTGGAAGGGAGGAAGGAATCAGCAAGGGGGCAGAGGAAGGCATCTCCAAGAGGGGATCTGTGATGGTCTTGACTGATGAGGGAGAGTTCAGTGGTGGGAAACCTAGTGAGAGTGTCCGATGTAGGAATAAAAAGTATGAAGTGGGGACAAGAGCCCATTCATGGAGGTTGGAGCTGGGGGGATGGGGTTGAGGTCAGCCAGGGTCAGACTAACGGAGGGTCACACACGGGTCATGTATGAGTTGGCACCAAATCCAGTGGTGTCTGAGAGCTGGTGGCGAGGGGGTGGGCACCTGTATTATTATTTTTTTCAGCATATATATTTTTAAAATTTTTTTCAACATTTATTTATTATTTTGGGGGACAGAGAGACAGAGCATGAACGGGGGAGGTGAGAGAGAGAGGGAGACACAGAATCGGGAAGCAGGCTCCAGGCTCCTCGGTGCCATCAGCCCAGAGCCCCACGCTGGGGCTCAAACTCACGGACCGGGGCGAGATCGCGACCTGGCTAGAAGTCGACGTCCCACTGGCGCCACCCAGGGCGCTCTGTATCAAACTTCCACCTATATTTTTAGAAAGCACCTCCTGGGACCGCTTGGAATTGGTCTGAGGAAACTCCTTCCCAGGCAGCAGTGCAGGAGGGGGGGGTCAGGTGTAGGGAAGCGGTCCGGGGAGTAGGGACAGGGAGTGCAGCAGGGAGGGGTTGCTTGGAGCAGTGAGGCCTGTTGGGCCAGCCACCCTGGTGGCACAGTGACCTCCCCAGGGACGGGAAGGAAAATGGGAGGGAGGGGCCCTGAGGACCCAGGAGCATTGGTTAGGGAGGAGGGAGGCCCACAGCTCACATCCCCTGCAGTACCTGACAACACACGACTTCGGGCAGGGGCTGAACCCCAGGACAGGGCTACTTCCACCTATCGAAAGTAACCTGCTCTGCTCTCTTTTTCCATCAGTCTGATTTTGGGGCGCTTGACTGGCTGGCATCATTGGAGCTGTCCTGGGAGCAGAGGCTCAGGAGGTACAAGAGAGTCAACCCTCGGCCGAAGCCCCTCCCTCTTCATGCCGCAGCTTCTGCCTCCCAGCCCTGCCTCTCTACCTGGCTCATCCTGGCTCCTCCCACCACTCCTGGCCTCCCATGTAAGGTGAGTGCCCCGCTGGTGGTGTGGTGGGTGCTGCTTTTTCAAGGCTGGCCTCATCACTGGCCAGGCTTAGCTGCATTATGTTTATCACTCCTGGCCCAGGGACAGCCTGTTGTCACCATTTCTGATGTGCAGCGTAAAACTGAGGTCACCCAGAGTGGCACCGCTTAGAGGAACAGAACTGGTTTGAGCCTTTCTGGGTTCAGCTGCTGGTGAAGGCTGATGGGAGACAGTGGGACGCAGATTTATTCTCGGATGTGCCGCCGGAGAGCTGAGAGATGGGGTGACAGGTGAGGGGAGGAAGCCCAGATTGGCCATGGCCTCCCGTGCCGACGCCCGGGCTGTAAAGGCAGCAACCGATGCTCTCTCGCCTTCTACTCTATTCCGTCCTGCTCCTCCGCAGGTGTCTCCCAAGTGTTTCACCTCTGTGGGCTGAGGCCCAGGACGGGCTCACGCCTACCGGCCTTTGCTGTGCCCGCCAGTCTCCTCCGCAGGCACGCCTCTCCTTGAGGCCTCCTCTTCCCCAGGCGCTTCAGCTCAAACGCATCTCCAGAAGCCTTTCCAGACCGTCCCATGCTCCTGTCAGAATTAACTGCCTCGCCGCTTTGGGTTCCATGGCATGTTTGGGTCCCTGGCACCGCGGGTGTATGGGTGGGGCTGTATGCACACCCCCTGCTCCCCAAAGCCCCAGCCCTGATGGTCTCACCAGTGGGAAGGGGCCATTCCTGGGAAGCTGGTGCCAGCCCAGCCCCCACAGATGGGATTCCCTCCCCTCCTCTCCGGCCCTGGGCCCTGGGGACCCCACCGGGACACAGCTGCCCCTGCACACATTCCAGGTGGCCTCACCGAGAAGACTGAGACCAGAACTACCCACTTCACCAGAGCCCACTGTCACACCCACTTAACTGGAAAAAGCCAACATCATCCTGTTTCCAAATAGTGTCAAGGCCACAACACGTACAGCCTTTGCTCCCTGTCCCTGGCCCCGCCCGGCTGGGCAGTGGTATGGAAAAGGATCGTTTCAGCCGGGGGGTAATGGCACGGCCCAGAGTGGGTTTTCCAGTGTCCGGGTGGTTCCTCCTGGTGCCAGATTCCAGGTGCTGGCTGACCAGCACGCCGCCTTTGGGGTGCACTTTTTGAGCCCTGG